TAAAAACACAAACATTCGCTTCCTCAGTCGCATGCCATGTTGTTGGTGTTTAAAAAAGTCACACCTTTGGGAAGCAGAGGCAGAGGCAGAAGCAGGTGGATCTTTTTGAGTTGAGAACCAGCTTGGTCTACAGAGAGAGTTCCAGGACAGCAAGGGCTACATAGTGAGAACCTCTCTCAAACAAAACAAAATCAAACAACAAAAAGTGTGACCTTAAAATGTTAGGGAAGGATTCAAGATCCTTCTGAAATTAACTACTTTCCTAAGGGAGGGAGTTTGGTTAGTGAAATGGGTGGGTCTGGAAATAAAAAATAACGTAGAGGACATTTAAGAATGTCTGCTCTTTAACAGATAAAGAGTAACAATGTCTTTCTTCGGTAGGCTACTCACAACCCGAAAGATTTAACAAAATTAATTTCAGTTGGCTCATTAATTGCCAATTGTTCCACATTCTCCATTCTGGGACTACTGCCACTACTAGCCTTTTGCTTTGTTATTGTTAACATGACACATAGGTATGCCAGAATCCAACCACTTTTTTTCTTTTGAGACAGGATTTCTCTAGTCCTGGTTGTTCTAAAAGTCATTGTGGACCGGGCTGGCCTTGAACGCAGAAGCAAGGTTAAAAAGGGTATGCTCACCATGGAATGCTCTTGGTCGGCAATTGACAAATCGAAAGCAAACCAATGGATGAAACAAAACACAGCATAGGTCACTTGAGATGGCTTTTAGTACCTTTACCTACCACGTCGAGTTAAACATAAGCCAAGAGTTACTTGTTTGATTCAACATAAACCTGACTATACCATAGCTATAACCTGGGAGAATTCAAACATTCTACCTTACTAAAACACTTGTCTAGCTCCTTTACTGATTCTGTGGTGGCCCTAAAAAGGGCCTTTTCTTGTTAAGTATATAAAGCCTCTGGACACATTAGCCACCAAAGCCGTAGAGCGTGCGGCCCTGGCGCTTGAGCGCGTAGACCACGTCCATGGCGGTGACGGTCTTGCGCTTGGCGTGCTCCGTGTAGGTGACCGCGTCGCGGATCACGTTCTCCAGAAACACCTTCAGCACCCCGCGGGTCTCCTCGTAGATGAGGCCGGAGATGCGCTTGACTCCGCCACGGCGGGCCAGGCGGCGGATGGCGGGCTTGGTGATCCCCTGGATGTTGTCGCGGAGGACTTTGCGGTGCCGCTTGGCGCCTCCTTTACCAAGACCCTTTCCGCCTTTACCACGGCCAGACATAATAGCAATTCAAAGCGAGTAACTAGAAAATGATAGCTTCTGGGAGAAAAGCAGGTCTCTCTTATAGGGAACGTGCGGACCGGAGTGAAAACAGGAAGCGCCAGGCGGAAGTGCCTCTGGCTGGAGGAGGGGCCCTCAGCAGCGCAGGAATCCCGTGGCAAAAAAAAAAAAAAGTCTGTGTCCGATTCTTTAATATGGTTCCTGCCTTCTTTCTTATACAAGATGTAGCAGTTTAGGATATACTTGGAAAGAAAGCAAAATTCTGTCATCTCCCCACATTTATGTTTTTCACTTTAGCTTTTTATAGGGCGATGTTTAACTTGGAACACCTTTTAATGAATCAATACGTTAATGAGAAAAATCACTAATTGTGCCGCACAGCTAAAAAATTCTATAAAATGTTTTAGTAAGGGAGCCTTTTAAACTGCGGGCATTACTATTTTTCGCTCTTATTTTGAGACAGTGTCCTTAGAGTATCTGACATAATTGCTGTGTAGACCAGGCTAGTCTCGAACTCCTAGATGTCTGGCTCTGCGTCACGAATGCTAGGTTTGGTTTTCAGTACATCGCATGGTTTAATCCTTTTTAAGTCAGATTTTTGAAATTAAGTACAGAGAATTGAAACGAAATTATGTATTTTCAACAACAAATTATCAATGCTGAAGGAATTCCAGATAGAAGTTTCAAGGAACCAGATTTTCGATTTTATAGTGTAACCCCCACCCCCACCCCCACACATACACCAGTTTCTCTATTTGGCTGTCCTGGAGCTAGCTCAACTCAGATCCGATTGCCTTTGCCTGCTGTGTGCCGGGATTAAAAAAGGCGTGTACCACCACTGCCTGAAGTTTACGTCTCCTTGTCAAGAATTAATTTTTACGTGGGAGTGGGTGGCTTCACAAACAGGGGTGGAAAAAGTGCTCCACTTGCCGAGCTGGTTACAACTATGCACTGAGCTCTCCACGATATATATAGACACCAAATACCTGACCGTAGCGTGCCTTAGTCGGCAGGAATAGATGGCCCAGACCAGTGGTAAGGATGCGTGGCCCACACCATCCTGATTCCCGAGACACGACTGCTGGAATGTCATGCGTACCCTTAAAAATTTTTCGATAATGTTAAGTTTCGTGCACTGTCCCAAGAACCACAGACAGTGGCAGTTTGTCATCCGTTTCCAGATCCATGAAGTGGCTATTAAACATCTTAAGCGGCTCAAAAAGAAACTGCGTTACTTCGCCTTGCTTTGTTTTTTAAAGAGAAATGGTGTTTGCTATCGTACGCTTGCTGTTCCATTGACATAATGCTACGCCTTTTTATAGAAAACATAGGTGGCCCTGAAAAGAGCCTTAGGTTTGCGCCAAACTAACCAAGGGAAATTACTTTCCCTTGGCCTTGTGGTGGCTCTCGGTCTTCTTGGGCAGCAGCACCGCCTGGATGTTGGGCAGGACGCCGCCCTGCGCGATCGTCACGCGGCCCAACAGCTTGTTGAGCTCCTCGTCATTGCGGATGGCTAGCTGCAGGTGGCGCGGGATGATGCGAGTCTTCTTGTTGTCGCGGGCCGCGTTGCCAGCCAGTTCCAGGATCTCGGCCGTCAGATACTCCAGTACGGCCGCCAGGTACACCGGGGCGCCGGCGCCTACCCGCTCCGCGTAGTTGCCCTTGCGGAGAAGGCGGTGCACGCGACCCACGGGGAACTGCAGGCCTGCCCGGGAAGAGCGGGTCTTGGCCTTGGCGCGAGCCTTGCCGCCCTGCTTACCGCGTCCAGACATCGTAGAGAGAAAAAAGTCGCTAGAGAGCTACTAGAGCTCGACTCTTATAGTTTTCGCTGGGCGCGAAAAAGAACCTGTGTGATTGGCTGGCTTCTTCTCATTTAGACCAATGGGAAGCGTTTTTACCAACGCGTATTTCAATTGGGCAGACCTCACATGACGTCACAGAAATGCTACTCAATGAAAAGTGTGCTTTTCTAAGCCTCATTTGAATAAAGACTTATAAATAGCGAAGGCAACGCACACTCGGTGTTGCAGTTCCTCCTATTGTCCCATTATGCCTGAGCCCGCGAAGTCCGCTCCTGCCCCGAAGAAGGGCTCCAAGAAGGCCGTGACCAAGGCCCAGAAGAAGGACGGCAAGAAGCGCAAGCGCAGCCGCAAGGAGAGCTACTCCGTGTACGTGTACAAGGTGCTGAAGCAGGTACACCCCGACACCGGCATCTCCTCCAAGGCCATGGGCATCATGAACTCGTTCGTCAACGACATCTTCGAGCGCATCGCGGGCGAGGCTTCTCGCCTGGCGCATTACAACAAGCGCTCGACCATCACGTCCCGGGAGATCCAGACGGCTGTGCGCCTGCTGCTGCCCGGCGAACTGGCCAAGCACGCCGTGTCCGAGGGCACCAAGGCCGTCACCAAGTACACCAGCTCCAAGTGAGCGCGCTGACTTCACTCTTGACCCAAAGGCTCTTTTCAGAGCCACCCACCTCTTCAAATAGGAGAGCTGTACTAGTTTGCTGTCTTACCTTAATCTTCAGTTTAGAGAGTCAACTGCTTGTTCGGTATTTGATTACTGTGATGCTAGGGTAATAGTTTTGCATATAGAGAGCTTGATTAGGTTGGGATAAAGTAGGGGCAGAGAGGGACTCGGTTTCTTTGTCCTCAAGTCGGTGCTAGGTACATCATCTATACCCTCATACACGTTCCTTTTTTATTCTCCGATTACACTTGTATTCATAAATGGGATACATAAGGCTAGGGAGTTTGCAAATAGGTGATGAGTTATATGTTAGGTTAAGCAGTAGAGCCCCAAATGTCTGATCTGGGCTCCACTCAGCATATAGACTCTGAAAGGCTTCTGCACCTCTACTGACTGCTCTCCCGCGTATTCACAGCTTGTACTGTAAGCTCAGTACTCCTGGAAGGTGAGGCTTGGCACCTTGTGTCAAGGGCTGGTGTCTTGGCAGAGATCACGGGGCCACTGGGAAACTAGTCTTTGTACTGGAGCACGCGACACCTTGATACCTGAACACAGAATACAAGATAGAAGCAGGAACTGGATGAAACTGTTGGCGGAACTTCAAGAGTAGTTGAGATCTGACTCCCTCTTGCGGCCATTTAGAATAATGTCGGTAGAGGTTTTAGGTAGTCTAATAGCATGTATAAAAAGCCCAGTCAGTCCGGTTCCCAGTACTCTCCAATGCCCCATTTCCCTTATCTACTTGGGGAGGGAATATTTAAATCATTTAGGTGTTTCAACTTATATAGCAACTCTAGGCTCTTCTGGACTAGGCACCACCTTGGTTAAAAAAGACATGAACAAACAATGTCATACTATCTACCAGTTCAAGTCCCCAACCCCAGGATGACCCCTAGTGTCTTCAAATGACTTCTTGGGAAAACTCAACAAAAGCTGACAAAAGATGCAGTCCCAGAACCTATCAACCCATGAATTTAGGGTTCCTATCTCCCAGTTGGCTAACTTGGGTTAAGCCATTTTCCTCACTCTAATCTTTCATCTTCCCTTGGGCATATCCCATTACTTCTCCATGGGTCAAGCATGGAGCTCAGCCCCTTTCCTCAGTCTCTGTGGTATTTAAAATGTTTTACTGTATTAATGTCTATCCAACTGTGCATATCTTTGATGTTCCGCAAAAAGCCATGTTTATTAGTTTTATATGTAGCCATATGCAATAGATAAAGCCATATGCAATAGATAAAGATTCAAATGACTGAGGTTCAAGCCTGTTTTGCCTGTTGTGTTTCTCATTAGATTCCTGGGACCTTTCCTATTTATAAGTAGTGTGACCAGATGTTGTAGTAGTTTAGTAGTAGTACATGGGTTACCTGATCTGAGAAGAGACCCCACAGTATGACGGCTGCATCTTCTCTGAAGGTAAGCCTGATTCCTCCGATCTTTGAGAGGAATGTGTGGCTCCTGTGTCCGGGATCGCTGTGGGGTGGACAAATAGTTATTCACTTTCTTGTTGGGACCTCACTCTGTATGGCAGGGTTTCTGTGTCCTGACAGCAGAGCTCCTCTTAGGAGTGATATCTTCTTTAACATCTTGTCAATGTCTACACATCCCATTGATAACTGAGTTTCCTGTTCTAGGATCTGGGATCTGACATACTGTTCTTTTCTGGTTCATTTGCTTACTACCTTTGTTTTCCCACTCTTGCCACTAGAAATTAAATACCTTGGGAGTTGGATTTGGTAGAGGGCATATTTTGAAATGGAGGAATGACTTATCTTTAGATATTTGGTCACTTAAGTTTCTAGCTTCTAGAGCAATGTCTGGCACTGAGTATTTGTGCTGGCTAGTTTTATGTCAACTTGACATAAGCTAGATTATTCATCTGAAAGGAGGAAACCTCAACTGAGAGCATGCTTCCATAAGATTGGGCTGTAGGCAACCCTGTAGGAGATTTTCTTAATTAGTGATTGATATGGAAGGACTAAGCCCATTTGTGGGTAGAGCCACCTCTCAGCTGGGCTGGTGGCCCTGGGTCTCTAAGAATGCAGGCTGAGAAAACCATAGGAAGCAAGCCAGCAAGTGACATGGCCTCCATGGCCTCTGTTTCAGCTCCTGCCTCCAGGTTCCTGCCCTGCCTTCCTTCATTGATGGACTATGATGAGGAAGTGTAAGTCAAATAAACCCCTTCTTCCCCAGGTTGCTTTTGCTCACAATGTTTTATCATAACAAAAATAACCCTAAGTGAGACAACAGTATAACACACCTTATAATAATATTCTACAACAATTAATGGTAAGAGTAAAACATGAAAGAAATCCATCCTTGGTCTTAATCACTGGAGGCATAGTAACATATTTTATTTTTAAAAGACCCTTCACACTGGAAACTCTAATAGTCTCTACGTACAAAAGAGGAATCATGAAGGATAGGGATAGGGATGGTAATGAATTAATTGCCCAAGGCCACACAGTGAATAACTATTGCTCAGTTTCTTTTCAGTTTTTGTTGTTGTTGTGGTTGGAGACATGGTCTTATGTAGTCCAGGTAGGCTTCCAACATGCTAAAGCTGAGACTGGCTTTGAATCTTCTGCCTCCACCTCCCAAGCACTCGGATTGCTGGCATGCACTACCCTGGCTGCCTGGGAGAAAGTTTTAAAGGTTGGGTAAGTAGTGTCACAGTCTCCACATTAGCCTCAGTTTCATGTCATGCCCAAATTTGTATTCAACAACCAAGATTTGTTTGGGGAGGAGGGAACCTGAGTTCAATGAAATATTTAATACCTTCTGCAGGCTGACTTACAAGAGGCCATCTTCGACACTTGAACACATTATTTTTGTGTCCTAGAATTAGAATTAGGCAGGGACACACTTTCTAGTTCCACTAAGTCGGCCTCACTTGTTGACCCAGCAACCCTTCGGAGGCACTAAAACAGGGACAACAGTGTCAGATGCTTTGGAAATAAGCCATTCTGGCTTTGATCCCAAATTCCTCTGTCATGGCAAGTTGCCAGTGCTGAGGGAGGTGATGATGATGATGTATGTGATGGTGACAATCTTAGTTATCTTAAGGTGATCCTTTCTATTTGCCTTCAGTATTACATTTAGAACATACAAACCATATACCAAAATTAATATGCATGCATTTGAAGTGCTTAACGCTTTGGAAATAAGGCTAGAAAACAAACAGCAAACTAAAAAATATTTCTATTAAGCAAAATTGAAAAGGTCTATATTAATTTTTTGTTACAAATCTCTTATAAACATTCCAAGGGCCTAGAGATGTATCTCAGTTGTAGGGTGCTTTACTTGTTTAAACAAAGCCCTGGGTTTGATCCCCTGCAATCCAGATACCAACTAAGGTGGTGTATATCAGCAATTCCAGCACTTGGGAGGTGGAAGCAGGAGAACCAGGAGATCAATGTCACATTTGGTTACCTAATGTTTGAGGCTAGCCTTGACTACATGAGATTCTGTCTTAAAAACAAAACACAAAAACAATTCTATGTAGTCAGAAAATGTAGGTCCTTTTACCCCTAGCTCATATATTACTAAGTCAAAATGAGAAAACATCTTGTAACTCTTGAGAAAATGGAGACTTTTCAAATGTGGAAGACTGCTTCTAATGATTCTAGCCCCTGCTTCCTAGTCTTTTGTGTGAACTCACCCCATGAGAGGGGATTATACATACTTAAACACCTCCAAGGGAAGTACACTGGACATGATGGCCTGTTACTTCCTAAGTTAGCTTATGAGTGATAGTGACTTTTGTCACTCTCTCTGAGTCTTAAGACTTTTTTGAAACAAGCCACACATTGTAAGCTGTAGGAGTGAACCCCACAAAGTTATCCGCCCATGAGGGTGGGGACAAGTAAATTAGCACAGATAGAGATAAAAGGAAGCGAAAGGAAAAAGGACCTCCTCTTTAGAAATCCGGCCACGCTTCAGACTCCCAGCTTGTGTGGTTCTCTCTCTCTCTGGTAAATAAATATATTGTTTTTCCTATAGCATTGACTATCATCCATATCTGGTGGCAGCTGAGTGGATTGGAAGCCTACACCTCTGTGGCCAGTGGCCAGCTGGCTCCGGCCTCGTAGGTGAGTACTACCCTCCCCACCCTCACCTGCACGCCCAAGCGCCCACCGCACCAAGGCCGGACAAAAGAACATCAGCCATCTGCGGTTGTGTGCCAAAACCGTGCAGCGCAGCCATCTTTAAGGTGAATGCTCATCGGCATCCCAGCCGCTTTGAGGGCTGCTGCGCCTCCAGATCCCGGCCCCATCCCGCTTGCGGCTGCAGCTGCAGTGCGCCTGCCTGCCGCCCAGTGCCC